CGATTGTGTGCTACTCGACTAACTCCACGAAGTATTTGATACCTCCCACTAGCACACACCAGGAAATTTTGTCTACAAGAACTTGGATATTTGAAAAGAAATCACCTAGTATTTTTGTCTTGCAAGAAATCAAATCGGAAACCTCATGGTTCTCAACCCAGTTCATTGACATTGATAGGCACTTCTCGTCAAGTAAAAGGTTTTAAAGTTCCATGATATTGTAACATCTCGCAAATTGAGATAGCTAGGAAGAAGTTTAGAAGTTCAAATAGTCACTTTTGAAAAAAAATTAAAATCTGGAAATTTTCTTAAGTTAGGGAAAAGTGAGTATTTTGTCAACTTCAAACAGCTTTAACTCCAAGATCAAAATGAGTTAGAGGTAGTTCTTGATATGGTTGAAAACCCCCTGGAGAGATCTTCCCAACGCCGTCGAGTTTGCGCGATTTCGATATAGTATAAGTGAGTTATATTTTTCGAAAGTTGGGCTGTTGGATTAAGGATAGTCCAATCAGGATTTGGGAAGGGTAAAGTTGTCTTTTTCTTACCCAATTATTTTATTTCGTTGTTGGGTCATAAATTGGGGTCTAAACTGATCTTATTCAGTTCACGATTTTAGAAAGCAAGTTAGGATTTTGATAGAGGAGAAAAGAAGAGGAGAAAAGAAAAGAGGAAGCAAGTTAACGTTCAAGATTGTCGAAGTTCGACTTGTGGAATTCGTTGTGGGTGGTCCCTAAAAAGGTATGTGATATCTTTCTGTGTTGGGTTAGTTCACCCACATACTAACTTGTTTAATGAGCGATTTTTGAGTAGATTGAATGATGAAAAGTGAAGTTCTTGAAGAACATTGTTGAATTCTTGTTAGTGGAGTTATTACATGTCTTTAGTTGATTTGCTTCATGTTTTTTAGTTGTTTTTTTACTCGAATATATGGGGTATAGTGAGTATTAATTATCCTAAGTGTTTGGAGGAAGAACATGGAAGTTTAAAAGGTTTAGAAATGGGTTGAAGATGAAGTTTTGGTGAGTCCTCATAGATTCGAGGACAATACCCTACATGTTCTTTTATGGTCTTCTAATCATTATTTTAAGTCTTGTATGGGCTTAAGTCCCAAATGTTGTACTCCAAAAGTTATTAGGTGATTTTATGAGACATGTTGTAAAGTTAGATGTTTTGAAGTCTTCGCTTGCTTATTAATGAAAGTATTTTTCGTGTGTGAAGAAAGTTCTAAATTTCACTTACTACTAGGGAATTCTCTCGAATCGTGACAAATATTATACTCAATGAAATATCATGCAGTTTGGTAAAAGGCCATTGTTTAACCATCATATCTTGAACTCTGAGTTCTTAGTGATATTTTCTATGGAATTACAATTTCCAGCAGGAAAACTTGAAAGAAGCTATATGTATGTGAAACTGACTATGACTTCTCCTGAATATGCCACCTTATAAATCATGTTGATGAAGCTATCTTCAAAGTTAAACACTTATCTAGTTCTTATTGAATTTTATTTGCTCTAAATTTCTTATCATAAATAGGTTTTTTTTTAGGAAAATTTTTTGGATTGACTAGTCCTTTTCTGGTAGAAAAAGGTTTAGGGTTGTATAAATAATAGTATTTGGACACGCACGTTGCGCGTGTACCCCTTTCTAGTGAGCATAAAAAATTTTAAAAATTGCATCAATATATAATAATTATATTCAAAAATCAATGACATCCAATATCTAAAGTGTAATCTTGAAGATTCTTAAGCAGTATAAAATTGATTTTAATTTTAGTTTATGAATTAAAATTTGATATGAATTTGTCAAATTTTAATAGTTTTAATATAGATATTATGTTTTGATTAAAAAAAATTAAGTTAATTAAATTCATATATTACAAATTAAATACACTCATATCATCAATTAAGCCCTTGTCCTACCATCACAATCAATATTACATTTCTAAACAAACTTCATTTGATATGACTCATCGCAATTATAATATATTTTTTGTTAGAAAAGGAATTCAACATTTCTTTTATATTTTGTGAAACTGTATTGTTAAAATTGTACTTGAAAAATAAAAAAAGAACATGATAAAATAATATTATGACATCTGAGTGATGAGTAATATAAATTCTGAATGAGAAAGGGAGGGATAAACTATGGATCAAATAACTAAAATAATCAACTAAAGTTAAAGCAAAGAAAGTTAATATAATTTCATGAGTAAAATAACCAAAATATGATATTGTATTCATTCCTTTTTTTTCTTAACATAGGTTGTTATCCTCCCTTCTTTCTTTTGAATGAAAACTCCATTAAAAAATTAAACTTAAACAAAGAAAGTGAAGCTGATAGCTAATGAATATCACATCACTAACATGCCAAAGCTCATAAATACATTTTTTACTTTTATTGGGTTATGATGGTTGTTATCAAAATTCAATACTTAATTAGTTTTATACACAAATAACTCACATGAATTTGCATATGAAAATTCAATAAATTTAACCTACTATTAACAAATTATAATAATAATAATAATAATAGTTAAAGAAAAACACAGACAAAGAATTGTGCTAACAAAAAAATCATGTCAGAACGAAATGTGAATTACCACGTTTGTATTGGCACAACTCAAAGTACAGTTCTATGCGTCGACACTGACGCATCTCATCGATTGATTTTCCATATAACAAAAAAAGTCATCTCATAAGCTATCGACACAAAATTACAAATTTTATTTTTCATCGGAGATTAAAATCTTAAACATCTGTCAAACATCATAAACTATATTATAAGTAAGAAGTAAGAAACAAAATAAAAAATAACTTAAAATAACATGCACAATGCAGAATCCAAAAGAAAAATATTTCAATGCTCTCTATCAAACTCATTATAAAATAGAATGTAAAAAGCAAAAAGAAATACATATATGAAATGAAAAGACAAGGATCATAGTGGGGAATGAAAAGAGACATCAGTTTCTTTAGAAGATTATTTCTGAATAATTATCTTTTTAATATATTTATTTCATGTAAAATATATATTTTAAGTACAATATGATACGATTATTAGATATTTTTATTTAATATAAGTGTAAAATGGTAATCTAAACATTGTACTTTGATGCTTCTCACTTATAATAATATATGATAGGCTTGTTCCTTCTAATTTAATTAGCATTCACAATACAATCTTAGGGGCTTTGAGAGTTTTGGTTAATTAGGGGGGAGAATTTGTGGATACAAATTTGATACGTTATCATTTGTGTAAACCTCCCATATATTCCGAGTAAATTGGTTAAAGTTATTTCTCTCTATATTTTGTAGTCTCATATTTATATAGTGAATTGTTCATCATCTTTGTATATATAGGTCGATTAATCGTACCACGTTAAATCTTTGTGTCTTTTGGTGTGTTTCTCATTTGTTTGTTTACTCGTGGTTTTTCGAGGTTTGCTTTGCTAGCTTCTACATTACACTTACTTATTTTCGGTCCTATCAAGTGGTATCAGAGTCAAATTTAATGATGGAGTCAGGTTCAGTGGTTCGATAAACAATGATTGAACCAAGTTAGAAAGAGGTGTTCATCTTGGCGAGTGTAGTTCTAGCCGCGACTTTTTTGACAGTAATAAAAATTCTTATTGGAGTAATCATTTAAGAGAGGTTCTCTGTATGAAGACGTAGATTTGATGGAGGAGATTATGAATAAAAGATATATTTTGTTGAACATCATGTGAAGAAGGTGGAAAAATTTATGGGAAAATAACTTGTGTGTCTACTTTTTAAAAACTAATTACCATATTTGTCAGTATTATTTTTTTAACCATAAATGTCAATTTAATTGAATATTCAACTTCATATTTTTTCTCTCGCCTCAAAATTTTCCCACGCCTGCAATTGCAATTTTTTCTTCTCTCGCGACTGCAATTTTTTCTTCTCTCTCGCGACTGCAATTTTTTCTTCTCTCTCGCGACTGCAACTGCAATTTTTTTCCGGCGACTTCAATTTTCTCTCGCCATTGCAATTTAAAGGTTAGTGTTGAGTAAGATCTGTTAATTTAGGTTACTTGCACTGCATTCTGCGATTTTTGTTGGTCTACCTTGCACTTAACTGATCCTTTAATGTGAGCTTGCAATTGTGGTCTTGACAGTGCCCAGATCGTTACGCCTTTCTTCTTTTTGTGTGGATTTATGTTGAGATTTCGTTTGATTTATGTTTACGTTACCTGTGTGCCTTTTTGTTTGATGATTTATGTTGAGATTTTGTTTGATTCAAGTTCCTGTGAGTGTCTGGTATTCAGTTCTCTTCTCTAATAAGTATGATCTCTTGTTAGCATCTGTATATTCATGTTTAATTCACTTTTTAGCATTTGTGTAATACAACTTCAATTCAGTTTTATTTTACTTGTTAGCATCTGTGTAATACAACTTTAATTCAGGTTTAATTCACTTTTTAGCATTTGTGTAATACTTCAATTCAGTTTTAGTTCACTTGTTAGCATCTGTGTAATACAATTTTAATTCAAGTTTAATTCAGGTTTAATTCACTTGTTAGCATATGTGTAATTCAACTTCAATTCAGTTTTAGTTCACTTGTTAGCATCTGTCTAATACAATTTTAATTCAAGTTTAATTCACTTGTTAGCATTTGTAATACAACTTTAATTCATGTTTAATTCACTTGTTAGCATTTGTACAATACAACTTCAATTCAGTTTTGGTTCACTTGTTAGCATCCGTGTAATACAACTTTAATTCTGATTTAATTCACTTGTTAACATCTGTGTAATACAACTTTAATTCAAGTTTAATTCACTTGTTAGCATATGTGTAATTCAACTTCAATTCAGTTTTAATTCACTTGTTAGCATCTGTGTAATACAACTTTAATTCAGGTTTAATTCACTTGTTTGCATATGTGTAATTCAACTTCAATTCAGTTTTAATTCACTTGTTAGCATCTGTGTAATACAACTTATTTTCATGTTTGATTCACTTGTTAGGATTTGTGTGATAAATTTTTTATTTAGATTTTATTAAGATTTAATTTAGTTGTTAGCAAAGTGATGCTCTTCTAGCAGATTAATCTATATGTCTCTCTCTAGTCTTTTAATAATAGTAATACACTCTTTAATGATGTGCAGAAAAAATATGACTAATATAGCGGTGATGCTTTACTTCAATGGACGATGGGATCCTAGCAACAAATATATTAACTACTTGGCAGATGGTGTGTTGATACACACAGAGTCAACGTTTGCCACCCTCGTTTCTGTAATTGCTACTCAATTGTCAATAGACACATCAACAAGTAAAGTTGAAATAAGATATAAAATTGATGAAAGGTCTCCTCCAATTCAAATTCATAATGATATGGGGGTAAAGGTATATCTTGAAACTAAAAAGGAACATCGAGATATGACAAGATACCCTTTATGTGTCACAACAACTGAACCAGTCAACTTGGAGACTAATGCTGCACTCATTCCACTTTTGTGTTCAGACACTTCAGGAGATATGAGGGTTATACACAATTCATACTTCTCTAATACATTTAATGGTATTGATGAAGCAATAGGGTTAATTGGATTCGGATCATGTGAGGAAGTTGATGAGCTAGAAGAATTAGCACCAGGCATCATTATTAATCCCAATCACTCTTTATTTGAAAAAGATCAGGTGTATAAGAATAAATATGTCCTCACTAGTGCACTAAAAAGACATTCCATTCTTAATCATTTTCAATTCAAGACAACAAGATCAAGCGCAATAAGGTAAGACCTAAATTCAAGTCACTTTAAATTATTAATTGTGTATTAATATTTTTTCTACAGCTATTCGATACAGTGCCTAGGAGAAAGCTGCAGTTGGAGTTTACGAGCTTCAAGCTTGAACAAATCTGAAATGTTCAAGATTAGAGAATTTGAAAGCGAACACACTTGTTTGTTGCTACATAATTCATTATCGGAAAGGCTAGCAACTAAGAGTGTTGTTGGGAGTATTATTGTGGGTAAATATGCTGAACCAGATGCTAATTACACACCAAAAGACATACAACGTGACATGTTAGCTGAATATGGTGTGCGACTCACATATATGCAAGCTTGGAGAGCTAAAGAAGCAGCTCTTGAATTAATCCGGGGTGATCCAATTCAATCATATGCAAAGTTGCCAAGCTACTTTCACATACTAGAGGCGACTTACCCTGGTTCTCATATAAGATTTCACAAATCAGAGGATGACCGTTTTTTATATGCGTTTGTAGCTTTGTTCACCTCGATAAAAGGATGGGAATATTGTAGACCAATTGTAGTTGTTGATGGAACTTTCTTAAAAGGAGCATACAAAGGGACACTGTTAACCGCTAATACCTTAGATGCAGCAGGTCAGACTTTCGAATATGATACTGTTTTTTATATTGAATTTTTGAACTATGTATTAAAATTGAATTATGATTGCAGTAAAAATGTATTAAACTTGTATTAAAAAAAGTGTACATGGTGCAGGGAGTATATTGCCACTTGCTTATGCTATTGTCGATTCAGAGAATGATTCATCTTGGGGGTGGTTTTTTGAGCAATTCAGAGATGCATTTGGTCAAAGACCAGAGATGTGTATCGTTTCCGATAGGCATGCAAGCATTATTAAGGCAGTTTCAACAGTTTATGATGAAGTACCTCATTTTGCATGTATGTGGCACTTACTGCAAAACATAATGAAAAATTTCAGAAGAAGTCAACAAAGGGTCACTGAGTTGTTCTACTCTATGGCAAAAACATACACCATGACAGAATTTAATCAATGTATGACAATGGTTGAGAAGATAGATAAGAGGATCAAAGATTACTTGTTGAACATTGGATACAACAAATGGTCGCGTGTGCATGCTGAAGTAAACAGAACTTGGATGATGACATCAAATATAGCAGAATCAGTCAATTCACGAACAAGACATGCCAAAGTTCTTACAGTCTTGCAACTCTTGGAATTCATGAGACAACTTGTACAGAAATGGAATAACAATAACAGATCAAAGGCGACATTTTCAGGTTTTCACCTTGGAAAAAAGTATGAAAATATATTGCGGCGCAATAAAACTGCATCAGAGAAATTAAAGGTATGCCTAATCTGTTTGCTAGTATTTTTTCTTCGGATTCATATCTAACATCTCTCTTGAATATATTTTTTTTCATAGGTTGTAGAGACAAATAAATATGTGTATACCGTACTTGATGGTATTACACAATTCACAGTATGTCTTCACCAACGTACATGCACATGTGGGAGATTTCAATTGGATGAGTTACCATGTCCACATGCTTTGGCCGTTTTAACAATAAAACACACTGGTTATGAGAAATATTGTTCGGCTTACTATACAAGAAAAAATTTATTGTTGACATATCAATTTCAAATGGATCCCCTGCCAAATGAAAGTACATGGAACACACCAACACATGTTCTTCAAGATATTGTACTTCCACCTCATGGAAAGAGACCTCCGGGAAGGCCAAAAAATAAAAGACATACTCAACTGAGAGAAGATGGATTCAAGAAGGCGAAAATTACATGCAGTAATTGTGGACAACATGATCACAACAGGAAGACTTGCAAAAATGTCAGGCCTTATGATCAAGAATAAAAAAATAATTTGTTTAGTTCCGCAATCTCGTGTTATTCAGTTTAATAGAATGCTTTCTTAGTTGTGCAATCTCATGTTATTCAGTTTACTGGAATGTTTCTATGTGTATAGTTACATTTTATATGATATATAGATGAAATGATATAGTTTACTGGAATAACTCAGTTGAGCTTGAGGCTTGGAAATGTCTTGCTGAGTATAATTGTCAGGTTGGGGAATTTGGGTGATGCTTGGTATGTTTTTGGTTTGTTAGTATTTTTGTAATATAGCTCTTTGTCACTTGTTAGTATTTGTGTAATACAACTTTAGCTTAGGTTTAATTCAGGTTTAATTCAATTGTTACCATTTGTGTAATATATATTTAATTCAAGTTTAATTCAGGTTTAATTCAATTGTTACCATAATATAGATTTAATTCAAGTTTAATTCAGGTTTAATTCACTTGTGGAAATTTTAAGATTAATGTCTTGTTCTAATTCTATAAAGAAAAATAGGATTTCAAAAAAATAAATAGTATCGATTCGTAACACAGAAGTTCATATATTTGCAACCAAAAAAAAATACATGATTTTTTTATAGTTTTCACAACTTATTGAGGTTTCATGTTCACCTCGAAAATTACAATTTTTTACTACTCAAATTACATATTCAAATAAAACTATAACTTTAAATCAACCTAATTACAATTTTTTACTACCATTTCCTGCCAGTTTTACATAAGCATTCATAGTGTCATTCAAACAGAAGTATGAGGAGCATTGACTTTTTTAAACTCAATCATGCATACTTCCAGCAAGCTGGATAGACATGGGCAGCAGCTTGTTGCTCCCAAACAAACTAACATATGTAGCATTCCAACTGCAAAGACAAAATTCCTTAGAGGAAGTACAAACAGAAAGGATCAATAAGGACACAAAGAAGGAACAACTTCAAATAGAAGACTTACATATAAACAACACAGTTAGGTATATAATATCAAGACTTACAAAATAGACCAATACAATTTTTCATAGCCATAGTAACTACAAATTATTTTACAGTATATAGTTTTCATAGTCATACTAACTAATATAACTATATTCCTTTATCTAACTGGTCTTTCGTCTTCACTTTGAAGGTCACTCGCTTGCTTCCTTCTTGCATATTCCCATAATATAGCTCCAAATCTCTTTCGGACAATGTCTGCCTTTACTTGTTGATTTTGAATATGTTGGCCATTACTTACAAACTCCGCAAATGCAGCAACGAAAACTCCACAATCCCTACAAAATTCAATATAAAATTATTATCAAAAAATCAATTTAATAACTAAAAAAAACACATATTTAATAATACTTACAGTGAATCCTCATTTTGTCTGGGAACATCTTTAGTTATGAAATGAAACTCAATTTTCTCGAACTCATTTATCTCACTGTATTTTGGTGTTGACTTCAATTCAGGACGCTTATCATAGAACTTAACCACACTTAGATAATATGGTAAAACAACCGAAAGCATCTCAACAATATTTTTTACCTCTAAATTCACCCCACCCCTAGCCGGAAATGAATCATACACCTCCAATGACCTTTGCCCAATATCAAACACCACAAAAATCCAGTGACGATTCTCTTTAATGTTTAGTGGAATAAGAACAAAATCCACTTTATCCCACGAGGTACTTGCCAACAAACGACGTCCACTGATATACCGGGCAATATCATCAGAATCTAAAACTTTAAAATTTTTCTTATCCTCATGAGCATCACAAAGTTTAAAGAAAGAATTGGTAATCTTTGTCTTGAAAACACAATCAGTCGTCGTAAAACGAACATTACTGTTGGTATCATATTTTCCTTTCTTTCTTAGGTAATAGAAAATGACATCAATATGCTGCAAAAAAAAAAACTTATGAAACAGAATAGTGAAAGAACAGTGCAGAAATTTCAACTCAAAGTTAAGGTAAAACTCTGTTTTCGCCCCAAGTGTGGCTCATTCATCACATATTGGTGAAACACAACAGTGATAGAACTTATGAAGATGTTCAATTTCTACCCAGAAAAAACTTAGAGACAACAGTAACTTACTGAAGCTGACATATTTTATATAATATTCTAGCTCATGTATATGCATAAATGTGGATTCTTAATGATACAATGAACCTCAAAAAAAAGAATTGAAGCTAAAATGACAAGAACATGATTACAAGTTTCATTCTTTTCGCAATATCCTGAGCTTTTGTCCCTCTTGAAAGACAGAGACAAAGGGAACAAGAACAGAAAGAAAAATGACTTGCAAGCTATAGAATTACAACGTCACACAACTAAAGAGCTTCAATAGATGAAAAATACAATCTATCTACACAACTAAACAGAAAGAATTTTAGTTGAGACAAAGACAAACTCAAGATTAAGAAACAGAACGAATCAAAGAAATATTAACGTCCAACTAAAATTTATATAACAAACCTCATCACACCATTGTTGTCCAGAATGTGCCAATTTGAAAAACCAGAGTCTTTCATCTACTGTACAGACACCCAATTCAAATGTTGGATTGATAACATTAAGAGCATCTGTATAAGGTTTCTTTCCCCTATCAAAACAGAACAAAAATAAACAAATACTCAAAACCGAGACAGGAACAACTAAAAAAGAGGCAAATACGAAACTAAAAAAGAGGTACAGAGCGTTCCACAAATTGAATTAAGCTTGTATATATTATGAATTAGGAAAATTATCCCAAAAACATCAAAATAAATTACCTCTTTTTTGTACCCATATAAAGCCACTTAGTGAATGAATCGATCAAATCAGATTCATCATCTCCTCCGCTTGCATATAAAAAAGGATGTTTTGTCTCAAAAACCTGACGTGTAACACATAAAGTTCCTCCAGATTCAAAATGTTGTGTGAAGGGAGATGTTATTAACTTTCCTGGATTTTTCTTTCTGCCACGTTTCTTCGGTGACACTTTCTTTTTGTTTTGATCAACTTGGGCTCTTTTTTTTAGATAAGATTCTTCAGTCCTATTGATCTGAGAAAGATCTTTATCAAGTAAAATAAAGTCATCTAAAGTATGCAAAGGTTTTTGACAATCCTCTGTTGCATCTGCATATAATAGATATATTGATTAATTTACAATCAACAGATGCAACACTTATTTATGTTGGTTTTTTTTACTACATTACCATCAGGTTTCGCCCCAACTGTATTCACATCAGCAGCCTCTTGGACTGTAAGCCAAATAAATATTTTAATAATGTTATCAAAATAAATCGAAAGAAGTTTAGTTGAAGTTAAGAAAATGAATACCATTTATATCAGCAACAACCTCTGATAGAACTTTTTCAATAACAATTCCTGCAACATCTTCATCTGTACATAACAAGAACATTTAAAAAAACAGAATTGAATTAAAATATATGAAATATGTAATATATTTGTATAAAATCCTTCATTACCTATTTTACTTGATACTCTTTCAAAATTTTCAACATCAGCAAATCTAACTGTAGCTTTAAGCACTTGAGATTCTTCATTTTGATTTGATCCCATAACATGAGCATCGTTCCCTCTCGATTCATTTACAGATGCATTAACACGGGGAGAAAATGTTGTATATGTAATTAACATATTATTAAAAAAAACATATCAAAGTTAACTGAAAAATGAAATATCGAATTCGTGTCATTTATAAACGAACCTCCATTAAAATCTAATCCACCTGAAAATGTCTCGTCAGCATGCTTCTTAGATGGTTCCTTAACTTCTCGAATAACAGAGCTGCTACCACCACTCTTAGCAAACAGCAAAGAAATATCCTCCAATAATTGTTTGTTTGAGTTCACCACAAATTCTTTGATTTGATTGAATCCTAAATCAATCTTCTCTTCAAGCGCTTTGTTATTTTCATTCACCTAATAGATATTAAATCATAACGAAAATATTAAAAAATAACAGTTTTAAAATAAAAAGCCTAAAGTTTAGTTTGTGTATACTTTTACAAGCTCTTTTCTCAATTCTATGACTTCATTGGTCAAAATGTCTAGACCATGATTTGATCCTTTAGGCTCCAATTTCAAAATTTCAGCATGGTAATCACGAGTTTCAGGAAGCCTGAATTTGGATACTTCATCTTCACTGGCCACTATGTTCTCAAACTGAAAAACCAAATACACAAAATAACATTAGATATAGTAACTTGAGTTCAAATAAACAATGTAATAAAATGTATTAACTTTGTACAAATGCCTTGTTTTTTGTAGGCATGAAGAGACATTTCTCAATATATTTTAACCATGGACTTTCTGCAATTGTCTTCCAATTCAAGATTCTTGGAATAGAATCAGCAACACGAATAGCTATATCTTCATCAACCTTTGAACAACACTCAAATATCCAAATTTGAAGAGCAAGAGGCAAGCCACCAATTCTATAGTACTTATGTGTTGACTTAAGCTCATGCCTCACAGAATCAGACAACTTTTTGTAGACATCTAAACCCCACGGATATGAATTGAATTTTCCACTTTCCACAAGGTAAAAATCTCTATTGCTAATTTGGTATTCGTTGTCCTCATATGAAAATAAAAAATCATTAATGAAGTATAGAACAGCCAATGAAACAGTCGAGTCATCATCTATGAATTTTTTAGCTAAAAACAGTGCACGTAGATGACTCTTTGGAACTGTGATTTTTTCCGGAAAATAACTACTCATCAAACTACATCTAGAATTGGGAACATTGATAGATGTGCCATCACCAACACAATTTAAGCCTGTAACTATCCCAAATTCTCTAAGACCAAAAAATAACTTTTTGTTATTTATTTCAATAGCAAACACATCATCCGGTGTGTGTTTTAACTCTCTATTTATAAGACAATGAATAAGTTGTAGTTGTGTGCTTGATTTTGGAAGGTCAAGAAAGTACCCAAAACATGTATTCCTAAACATCTCAAGTTGTTTATCAGATAAAGATAGTTTGATTTGTTCAATGACACTATGATTAGTGTAACATGACCACCTACTCGAAATATACACAACATCAGGATGTTTCCAGAATTTACGATCCTGCATATGCATTAAACATGAATTAAAAATGTGTTACTACATACTAAAGATGAATAAAAAATGAATTAAAGTTGAATTAAAGTTGAATTAAAGTTCAACTAAAGTTGAATTAAATATGAATTAAAGTTGAATGAAAGTTGAATTAAAGATAATTTCACATACTACATCTAAAAAACAAGCAGCAATCAACATACAACCCATTGCTAAACAACAAATAACTAAGAAGTACTAACACATACCGGATATCTACTCTCTGGTAGAATGACACTTTTGGGTAAACGATTTCGTGTTTTTCCATCATTCACCGGCCTTTTCTTCTCCAATCCATCTTTATTTTTCAAACTTTTTGACTGAAATTGAGGAGGTAAATCCTCAAAATCATCATCACTGTCAACGATTTTCTTCGATGTAGATGCCAAAGTAACACATATTTTTTTTGATTTCTTCATTGTTTTAACCTCTTTAACTCGTTTTTTACCTTTCTTTTGCTTCTTGTTTTCTTCCTCATTGTTCTTCTCCTCATTGTTCTTCTCCTCATTGTTCTTCTCTCCCGAAATTTGTGATATACCCAAACTAAAACTTGGAATTTCATCCATAGAATTAGAAGACGAAACTTGAAGCTTCTTTCGATTTCTTCGATAAACTTTTCGATTCGAAGCCGTCACTAGACGCGGACTTCTTCTAAGACCTTCTTCCATTAAGATTCGTGCAGAAAAATGGAGAAAAAAAGCGAACAGGAACCCTAATTTTTGACGAGGAGAAGGAGAAAGAAAAAAAAAGAGCGAGAAAGGATATGAACTTTGTTTAAAATTTGTATAAAAAAGGAATAAATGGGTTTTAAATTGTTTTAAGTTAATATAGCTAAAAGTTGACAAAAATAGTAATAAATAAAAAGTGTACTTAAAATTGGTAATTATAAAATAAAAGGTCTTTATTTATGTAATTTTTCCAAAATTTATTTTGTCAGAAATTCAGTCCAATGGGGAGATTTATTGGGTTTTATTTGCCCTAAATTTCTTACCATAAATAGGTTTTCTTTTAGGAAAAGGTTTTGGATTGACTAGTCTTCTAAAGGTGGTTTAGGACTCTATAAATATAGATTTTTTCCTTCTAACTTAATTAACATTCACAATGTAGTCCTAGGGGCTTTGAGAGTTTTGGTTAGGGGAGAATTTGTGGGACACAAGCTTGATACTTTATCACTTGTGTGAACCTCCCATGTATTCCGAGTGATTTGGTTGAGGTTATCAGTTTTTCAGCCAACACCGATAATAAGTATGTTTGAGTTTGTGATGCAACTGATTCCTACACTTACTGATCACTTTCTTCCGGTATTTCTTGATCAGGTACATGGAGTGAATCCTTCACCACCTACCAATAATTCATCAGTTGTTTCTTCTGGTACTATTAATATTGAGGAGGATAGTCCTTTAGTTTCAGATGATGATCGTTTCCCTTGATCCAACTTGCATTTCTTTTTTATTTCGACTATTTTTGGAAGTACAAATAGTATATCCATATACTTGATGGATGTGAGTTCTTTTGATTTAAAAATTACTGACAGATACTGATCATGGATGTTTTTGATATATATGTTGTTGGGGCTTTTCTACCTATACATTTTGAATGTTCTATGATTATTATTTTATACGAATATTGGTTATTTCAAGGGTATTTAATAATTTGCGTTTAATATGTTTTATTATGGTATATTGAAAATAAATAAAAACATTCACAAGAAATAGTTAGCAACAAATTTAACGGCGATTTAAAATGTAGTTATAGAAAAAAATTTGGTGACAAATTAGCGACAATCTAATTGTAGTAATAGAGAGAATTAAGTGACAGATTAGCGATAAAACATTATTTATCGCAAAGTTATTAAAAAAACATATTGCGACTGAATAGTGACAAAAATTTTGTCACGAAATGGAATTATAAAAATAGCAACGAATAATTTGTCTCTATGAAACTAGCAACAAATATAGTACATCGCTAAGACATCGCTACACCAACAACAAAATTAATTATTTTCATCTCTAAGAGGTTAGTAACAAGCAAAATAGTAACAAACAATATTTCATCACTAATCCAGTTTAACGACAAATTTATGTAGATTACCGATGAAATTAGTGTGTCGCTAAACAGCGGTTTTTTTTATATATATATTTTTTTTGTATTGATAGGCTCTTTTAGCCTTGAAAAAACTTGATCCATTTAGAGAGATGGAAATGCAAACTTGACAATTCAGTAAAATCCTTTAGTGCAAGAATAGTGATGCGCTTCTTTATGCTTAGATGAAAAATTGGAAGTATTTTCAGGTTAAGAAACAGCTCTAGGAACCATCAGTAGAAATTTCAATAAATAGAATTTTCAAATTGAGTTTGGATCATGGACACTAAAATGGGTGGGTAGAAAAAAATTAAATGGGTTGAAATTTGATTTATCCATAAGAAAATGACACCTAAGGTGTGTTTGGTACGAAGAAAAATATTTTCCGAAAAAGTTTTCCAATTCTCATGTTTTGTTGGGCAAAATATTTTGGAAAATATTTTTTCAAATTAACTCATTTTCCTCAAATTTAAAGAAAATTATTTCCTTTAAAAAATTGAGGAAAACATTTTCCAAAACTCTCATTCAACTTCAATTTAAATATTTTTTGAAACAATCAATATTTTTTTGTTGAAAAAAATAAATTTAAAGCTTTTTAAAATTATATATATTTTCAACTTCATTTTTAATTTTTTTACCCCACCCTCACCCCTACCCCCGCCCTCCATAAAAAAATATTTTTTTAAAAAAAATATTTCCAACTTCAAATTTTTATTTTAATCCCACCCTTACCCTCGACCTACCCCCCTCCAAAAAAAACATTTTTAAGTTTATTTTTTAAAAAATATTTTAATTTTTAATTTTTATTTTCATTCCACCTCTACCCTCTACCCCTCCCCCCCCCCCCTCACACACACACTCTCCCCCCAAAAAAGAATTAAAAGATAATTTTTTAAAAAAAAAAAATATTTTCAAATTCAAATTCTTATTTTTCATCCTATCCACCCCTACTAGCCCCCCCCCCCCCCCAAAAAAAAATATTTGAAGTTTGTTTTTAAAAAATATTTTTTATTTCTAGTTTTTTGTTTCACCGCAACCACGATATCCCCCCCCTCCCCCCAGAAAACAAATTAAGTTTAATTTTAAGAAATATTTCAAATTTCAAATTTTTTTTTTCACCCTCCCCTCTCACTCGCTACCCACGACCCCCCCCCCCCCAAAAAAAAAAAAAAATTAATCAGTCTCCCACTCCCTTCCAAAAAAAAAAATTGAAGTTTTTCTTAATAAAATATTTTCTATTTCAAATTTTTATTTTTAATCCCCCCCCCCTTTACCCGCGACCCCCCCCCCCTTCCAAAAAAAAATCAAGTTTGTTTTTAAAAGTATTTTCAACTCCAAAAATTTATTTTTTCAACCCCCCCATCCCCAAAAAAAAAATATAAGTATTTTAAAAAGTATTTTTAGTTTCAATTCAAAAAAAAAAATTCTACTCTCTATAAAAAAAAAAGATATTTTCTCAAAATATTTTTCATTCATAAATCAAATACTAAAACAAATTCCTGTAAATATTTTTTACTCAGCAACCAAACATGAGAAAATAAGTACAAAGTCTAGTTGTTTTTGAGGAAAACATTTTGCTTCATACCAAACACACCCCTAATAAGTGATAGTAATAATAATATATATATCTTTATAAGGTTGTTAGTTTTAAGGGTAGATATAAATCAAATAGGTGAATTGAGGGTGTTTTTAATTCAATGGGTGAATGAGGGGTATTTTTTAACCTTTTCAAATAGACTAATGGTAATTTTTGCCATTTTCCTCAAGCCATCGAAATCGTATACATTGATATTGATTTTGTGAAAAAAACACTCATATTAGATTTTGATTTGAATCCATATATTCTAGTAAATATATTTTTGCTCAATGGCTTTATCTTTTTTCAAAAATTAATTTTTATTGTAAAATTATATTCTTGTCTTTAAAACAATAAAATTTTTTAATGAAATAATATATATTTTATGAGTTTTAAGTTAAATAATTGTCAGTGAGCATAATTTTACATAACTAGATTATATTTTATTTGTTGTAGTAAATACGTATTTTATTTTTAAGATTTCGAATCTCATATATAAGAAGATTTATTTATAGAAATTTATTAGATAAGAATGACAGAAAAAATATTTACACCGATAAATAATTACGTATAAATTAAAATATGATATATATATATATATAAAAAAAAATTTGGGGCGGCCAATATATAAGAAAATATTTGGGCGGTCAAAATTAGGGGCCTAAAGGTGATTCACATGTGAATAAATTACACTTTATACGTCAAATTCAAATTGAACCATTTGAAGTTATATTAATTGTAGGGTCATTTTGACCACAATTAACTACATCACCAAATAACGTGGGAACCCTTTCTCATGTGTGACTCATGTTCTGTCATTTCCTGTAGGAAAAAAGGTATTTGTATTATTTCTTGACATAATACATAAATATCTATTTTTAACTTGGTTTTATTGGCATCTGCGCAGAGATAAAATTAAGAGTTTTGAAATTTATATGTTAGGAAAGAATAACTTTTAATATAATCGATAATTAAACGAACGACAATATATTGAAAAACAAAATCTTTTTTATTTTAAGATGAGTAGTTTTTTCTTGGTCTTTTCTAATTGTTATACAATATTTTTAATTGATTTTTATTTATATTTTTTTGTGAAATATACTATTGCAAAGTATACATTATTTTTTTTAAAGAGAAACTTCTAGTGATAGTGAGGTCCGAAAACTCACAATTCTAGCATGGGAAAGCGTTTTAAGCTCCTTTCTTACTATACTGAGCCGTCCGTCAATTATGTTGGAGAGTTCACAAGTTATAAACATATATATATAAATATATATAAGAAACTGATTATATAATATCTTTGCCAACAATGGAAATTATGGTGTATAGTCTTATTGGCAAATCAGTCAGTTTGCCTCCCAAGCAGCGTAGGTTCGAAACTTCCCTGCAACATTAACTTTTGGAAGTTTTTTGTTTCTCATTTTTATTAATGAATCTTATTCACCATAATTAATTCTCAAGTTCTTTTACTTTCTCTTTCACTAATTATTAATTTCATAGTATGAGTGTCACGTGTTTATTCTTTATCAATTAATGATTACTGAATTATGAACGTGAGATAAATATTTATTAAGAATAGATTTAAATAGTAATTTTAAGAAATGTAAGTTTTAAAAACGATGAACATTATTATTATAATTCTTTTAATTTGAAGATTCTTTTGATCTTCATCAATGTTCTTGCTAAGTAGGATGACTAGATTGACTAAATTCTATATTCTCTTTGTCATATATTTGCAACAACACATGAATATATTAAGTTAACTCTATTAAATAGTTTATACAAACTCAAATTTTAATGTGAAAAAATCTCTTTTATTCCTTATTCCTCAAAGTTTCAGCGAATAAGGCCACTAATTCTCAAAAAGAAATAAAATTGACTTGTTTAGTTAACTCTAGTCTCATATATCTGAAAAATAATATTAGTAACATGCATGTTTAATCGATTTGTTTATAAAAATAAAAAAAAGGAAAAATAACTCAATAATAATCCAATATTAAAGCAACCGACCCGCTTATCTCACTTGAATAATGCGGCACCCAGGGTCTTATACAAATGCAAGATCTACGAAAAAGCTATTGAATTCGTTCGAAACCTCAAAACCCCTCATAGGTCCGACCGCTCCTTCATCTATATCCTCCAACTTTGAGTGTGCACAAATTAAATAACCATTCAAACTTGTATAAAGTTAAACAAGTAAACGCATATATCACGTAAGACGTCAAGTAGGACTTATAATTTTGTGTTTCAACAGTCTATTACTTCATGTGTTTCATATTTTTGTCTCTTCTTGATATGAGATTCCTTAAAAAAATTCATTAGAGATGTATTTTATAAAGACATAATATATAAATATTTTCTTGTGACTTAACCTCAATTCATATTTATACATTTTCATCTTTGAATGTGCTGATCCTATATTTAAAAGTTCAAGTCATGTTGGAATCAGTAAAACAAACAAAAAAATTGAATTGACGCTGACTCAACATTTCCACATCCATTTTATTGGGTAGATATGATATGGTTGGAGATTTTTTACAAATTTAGAAGGAAAATTTATTTGGATTGATACCTTTAAATAAATAATAATTGATTTTAGCGATAAATTTTTATTTAATATTTTCTTCATTTTAGAAATAATGATCTAGTTTTCTTTTTAGTTTGTTTTAGAAAGAATGACTTGTTTCTTTTTTGGTTGCACTTTAATTTTAACTTTTCACATGACATTTTTAAGGCAACAACATTAAAGGACATTTTGGTACATTTGACATAACTTTAATTTAGATACACAAGATTAAAAAAGTTTTTTTTTCTTTTCTTATATTTTGTTCCAAATCAAACTAGATCATTATTTTTTAAACAAGGAAATACTATTCATAGCAATATTATGTTAAATGTGCCATGTGTATTAAAGTGAATTATGTATACAACTGTTTTTAAAAAATATATTATGCTTACTTGTTTGATAAGAAATTGATACATTGTATTATTGAGTTGTGCTATAATTCTGCCTCTGTATAGTCCCTATATAAACATTCCGTTAGCAAATTAGAAAGTATAGTAGCTTTAATTGACAGTGGGGGATATGGGGAATATTAAGTTTTTGTTGTTAGTGTTTTTTCTAATAGTAGTTGTGGTGAATGGTTGTTGGGAGGAAGAGAGAAATGCTCTCTTGGAGCTGCAAACAAATATAATGAGTTCGAATGGCGAATTGTTGGTTGATTGGGCTGGTTACAATGCGGCTCATTTTGTAGATTGTTGTTTTTGGGATAGGGTAAAATGCAGCTTAGAAACAGGTCGAGTTATCAAACTCGATCTCGAAGCAGATTTTGGTACAGGCGATGGTTGGCTATTCAATGCCTCTCTCTTTCTTCCATTCAAGTCTCTGCAAGTTCTTTTATTGTCTTCCCAAAATATTATAGGATGGACAAAAAATGAAGGTCTGATCTATCTTGTATGGAGTTAGAAATATATATTTATATATGTAACATGTTTTTTTTTGTCTGATTTTGTTATTCAGGGTTCAGTAAGCTAAGACAGCTTCCCAACCTGAAAGAAGTCGATTTGCAATATAATCCGATAGATCCTAAAGTTTTACTATCATCTTTATGTTGGATTTCATCTCTTGAGGTTTTAAAACTTGGTGTAGATGTTGATACCTCATTCAGCATACCGATGACATATAATACTAGTAAATTCTACATTAACATTGTTTTTGATATATGCATATATTGTATGTCCACTTTTGGACAATTATATATATATTTACTTAATATAGTTATAATTTTTGGATGAAGATATGATGAGTAAGAAATGTGGAGGACTAAGTAATTTAAGAGAACTCTGGTTTGAAGGCTATGAAATCAATGACATCAATATCCTTTCTGCATTGGGTAATCACAAATATAATTTCACAAGAGAAAACAATTAACACTAAGTACAGTCTCTTACTTTTCATAAATCATATGAAGGTGAACTCAGGAATTTAGAGAAACTCATTTTGGATGATAATAACTTCAATTCCACCATCTTTTCGTCACTCAAGATTTTTCCGTCTCTCAAGCATCTCAATCTCGCTGCCAATGAAATAAATGGAAATGTCGAAATGAATGGTCTGTTTCATATCCAAGTCTTTTCCACTAAATATATCAATTTTATTTCTTCGAATATCAAATTAAAGTTTATCTGTGTAGATATAATTGATTTGAGCAATTTGGAATATCTGGATCTCTCGGATAACAATATACACAGCTTTGCGACTACCAAAGGTACACTAATCATTTTAAGCTCAAGACATCCTACAGAACAAAAGACATCTTTATGGACTTCCTGTAATCTAAATTATTTTTATAACTTGTTGAAAATTGCGGGATACAAATTAGATGGAACTATTCATTCTTATTTTAAAATGTTTATGATTTATTTATTCACTATTTAACAGGTAACAAAAAAATGACTTCTCTGCGGAGTTTACTATTGGGAAGTTCCTACTCCAACTCGAGCAGAGTCATACGATCCCTAAAATCTTTCTCATCTCTTAAATCACTTTCCTATAAAAATAGTAATCTCACTTCTCCCAGCATAATTTACGGTAAGCTCAAATCAAATTTTATCCAACTTACTTTTCTTTTGGAATATGACAATATAATGTGTTTTTTATTTTATCGTATAAGCATTAAGAAATCTGAGCACGGTGGAGTACCTATACTTTAAGGGATCTTCTTTAAATGACAACTTTCTCCCAAACATTGGACAAATGACTTCTCTTAAAGTGTTGAATATGCCTTCTGGTGGAAATAATGGCACCCTCCCTAATCAAGGTACGACCTTTTCTGTTTTCCTAATGTCTGCATTTTCATGAATATAGAGTAGAAATAATGGTTCCCATGCTTCACCTCCCATATTATATACAAATACTTAAGAGTAGTAAAAAAAAAATTATTATTAAGCACCGAACTCAAGAAATTTAACAAGTAAGAAAACAGACCTATTTTCCTTCGTATCAAACACAACAAAAAGAAAACGTATAAGAAAATGTGGTCTATTATAGAAAACTTGTTTTAGCTAAATGTCTCTCATATATAGGTTGGTGTGAACTCAAATACATTGAAGAGCTGGATTTTTTAAACAATAATTTTGTGGGAACATTGCCTTTGTGTCTTGGAAACTTGACATCCCTTCGATGGTTGAGTTTGGCTGGGAATAACTTACATGGAAATATAGCGTCACATTCTATTTGGAGGAGACTCACATCACTTGAGTACTTGGATATTGCGGATAACCAATTTGATGTTCCTCTGTCATTCAGCCAATTTTCTGACCATAAAAAATTGATCTACTTGAATGTTGGTTATAATACAATAATTACAGACACCGAATACCAAAATTGGATTCCAAATTTCCAGTTGGAGTTTTTTGCTATCCAAAGATGTATAGCTCTTCAAAAATTGCCTTCTTTCCTTCACTACCAATATGACTTGAGGATTCTTGCTATCGAAGGAAATCAATTGCAAGGAAAGTTCCCGACATGGTTGTTAGAAAATAACACCAGACTTGCAGCGATCTATGGTAGAGATAATGCTTTCAGCGGACCACTCAAGTTGCCATCGAGTGTTCACCTCCATCTAGAGGCGGTTGATGTCTCTAATAATAAACTAAATGGACATATTCCACAAAATATGAGTTTAGCCTTCCCAAAGCTTCTCAGTTTGAACATGTCACACAATCATCTTGAAGGTCCTATACCTTCCAAGATTAGTGGTATTTATTTAACAATTCTCGACTTATCTGTCAATTTCTTGTCTGGAGAAGTTCCTGGTGATCTGGCAGTTGTTGATTCTCCACAATTGTTTTACCTTCGGTTGTCAAACAACAAGCTTAAAGGAAAAATATTTTCGGAGGAGTTCAGACCACATGTATTATCCTTTTTGTACTTGAATGATAATAACTTTGAAGGTGCATTACCTAGTAATGTTTTTCTCAGCTCCCTTATTACACTGGATGCTAGCAGGAATAATTTCTCCGGAGAAATTCCAGGATGCACTAGGGATAACAGAAGATTGTTACAACTTGATTTGTCCAAAAATCATCTCCAAGGTTTGATTCCAGTTGAGATTTGCAATTTGAAGATTATTAATGTCTTAGCTATATCTGAAAACAAGATTTCAGGATCGATACCATCTTGTGTGAGTTCTTTACCTCTCAAACACATCCATCTACAGAAAAATCAATTGGGTGGTGAATTGGGGCATGTAATTTTTAACTTCTCTTCTCTGATAACTTTGGATCTTCGCTACAACAATTTTGCAGGGAATATCCCATACACCATAGGCTCACTTAGTAATCTGAATTACCTTCTCCTTAGCAATAACAAATTGGAAGGAGATATTCCAACTCAGATTTGTATGCTGAACAATTTATCTATCGTGGATTTATCTTTCAATAAGCTTTATGGTCCACTCCCTCCTTGTTTGGGTTACTTAACACAAACCAAAAAGGATGCAGAGATAAGTTGGACTTATTTTGCTGAGAATTATAGGGGTTCATGGTTAAATTTTGTGATCTGGATGCGTTCGAAAAGGCATTATCACGATAGTCATGGACTTCTAAGTGACTTGTTTTTGATGGATGTGGAAACTCAGGTCCAGTTTTCAACCAAAAAAAACTCATACACTTATAAGGGAAACATTCTAAAATATATGTCAGGTATTGATCTCTCAAGTAATAGATTGACAGGTGAAATTCCTGTTGAGTTAGGGAACATGAGCAATATACATGCATTGAATCTATCACACAACCATCTCAACGGAAGAATACCAAATACCTTCTCCAATCTACAGGAAATTGAGAGCTTAGACCTTTCCTGCAACAGATTGAATGGGAGCATTCCTGTTGGTCTACTTGAGCTAAATTCTTTGGCAGTATTCAGTGTTGCATACAATAACTTATCGGGTGCAGTGCCTGATTTTAAAGCTCAATTTGGAACTTTCAACAAAAGCAGCTACGAGGGAAATCCTTTTCTTTGCGGTTATCCATTAGATAACAAGTGTGGGATGAGTCCTAAATTGTCAAATACCTCCAACATTAATGGAGATGAAGAATCATCAGAGTTGGAGGATATTCAGTGTTTTTACATTGGCTTTGTTGTGTCTTTTGGAGCTATCTTGTTGGGATTAGCTGCAGCGCTCTGCTTGAATCGTCATTGGAGAAGAGCATGGTTTAGGATGATAGAGGCATTGATGTTTTATTGTTACTATTTTGTGTTGGACAACATTGTTACACCCATCAAGAGTAGATGGTACAAGAATGTTGGTTAGGTATTGTTGTATGTCTATTCGATCACTATTATTATGTTGTGATACTCTTTTATCAATATAAAAATCCAATCGATGTTGTTACAATTTCATATTTTAGTAATATCCCAATGGTCTATTTTGTATTTGTTATGAGATGCTTCATTGGTGTTGTTGCTATTTATCTAGCAATTTGAGAAATAATAATGTGATTAAAGCCATGTCTATATATATTTAGTATCATCTGATTCTTTGGCGTTCGCAATCTAATTAAGCTTCAAAAGGTACACAATTTCAATAATGGGGTGTTCTTGATCAAGTTAAAAGTTTGAGGAAGTAGTGTAAAAAACACACTAAAATTTCAATTATAACCATGACCATGAGAGATTTTTGGAGTAAAAAAAATTCTTTTTTTTGTTTTAATAAGAGTCCTTTTTTATTATTATTTGAGATTCTAAATTTGGACTCATAAACTTTTCATATAATTTTAGCTAGAGATGTAAAATAGTGGGCTTTTAGTTTTTAGCCAAAAGTGGCTATGAAAAAGAAAATTTCAAAGAAAATAGATTAGTTCTAAGGTTATTAATGTGGAGGATATTTTTTCTGATTTCAAACAATCGAAATTGGAGGACAACGATAATGAATTGAATGTAGGGAAAGGGGAAATGAGTAAGAAATCAAACTCTCATCAACAAAGTGAAAATTCATATAGGATAGGAGAAATGAGGAGGAAATTACAGGGTAGAAAATCGAACTCTCACCAATAAAGTAAAAATTCATATAACCAATCAATGAAGCTACTAAGATTTCCCTACAGCATCATTGTGATACTAAGATGTTCCTAAAAACAATCTATTTGCACAAAACATGTTAAATGTTGATCATAAAGCAAAGTTGTAAAACTAAACAATCTATTTGCACAAAACATGTTAAATGTTGATCATAAAGAAAAGTTGTAAAACTAAAGCAATAATATAAGAATATTAAAGATAAGAACAATAGAAATAGAGAGACAATAAAGGAGAGCTTTCTCATTTTCTTCTAAAATAAGTATCATCAAATGTATAAATATGAAGCCATATTCCTCTATTTATAGTGTTACATAGAGGCATACAAAATGTTAATCATAAACAAGATACTAATCGTGAAATAACGAATAAGGTTATAGAGGTACAAGAATGATGATTATAAAGATGGGGGTTATCGTCATAATAAAGGAATCAACTGAGATACTTAGTGAGAGTAACTTTTTGTTGTAGTAGACATCCACATCACACTATTTTATAACATAGACTCTATTTTTCAATTCATTTTTTCAACATAAATAAAGAAAGAAACTTGGGTAACAATTTTTTACATGAGGGCTTAGCTCATTCAATTTGTATATGTTAGAATTAGTGCGTCCACTAACAGTCAATGGACCAGGTCCCTTGACACAGTGAGAACAGATTGTAAGCACAGACACTAGTCAGCATCTACTATACGTTAACGGACCATGTCTTTGACTCAACAAGAAAGTAGCTGAAGCAAAATGCAGAAAGTAAATGACTATAACTAAAATTTGCACAAAGATTTTACGTGGAAACCTCCTTACTCATGGAAGTAAAACTACGACATGTTGCACATGATTTTCAACCGTCTTCACTAATCTTCTCAAGCAAAAGTGAAACCCGGTTACAACCAATGTGAGAAAAAGTTATTAATCTCATGATCAAGTAATCTACCTATTACTTGAAGAGCCTAAGTGGATACAACACCGCCCACTAAGCTATCACCCCTAGATAACTTAGACATTGCTAAGTGGATACCACACCGCCCACTAAACCACATAACTTTAGATGACTTAGAATTTGACTAAGCAACAAAATAATGTTTCTCACTAAATCAGTTAACCTTAACTGACTTAGTCTTTTACAAACCCAAAATAAATATTTGAATCCTTTATAGATTAGGAACAAATTTACAATGTAAGAACGGAAGATATAATCGTAAGACAACTATATAGCTTGCAGCTTTATCCGGTCCCTGTTGCTCTTAGGATGACACTTCTGGAAGATGACATTTGCTTTCTGAGCTTTTGGATTTTCTGAAATCCAAAACTTTGTTTGCCAAAACTTCTGTTTGTGTTGTTGGAGAAGAGATTATATTCAAATGAACACAAAACCTTGGGATGAGGCTATTGGCTGAGAGCCTGCTGTCATGAAAAGTTGTGCACCAACCCCTTCAGAGTTGCACATTTTTAATAGTTGTCTTTTCGTCCTTTTCTCGTGCGCTGACTTTTCGGGATTAAGTCCCTTGCTGCGTTCTTTGATGCTTGAGTTCTTGACAAAGACTTGTTGCTCTCTCTTCTTTAATGAATGAACTTAATATGTTATTTGTCATGTTGAAAGTATCAATCATAAAGAGTTATTAACCGTTGGACAAACAAACTCTTCCATTCTGATTGGTTCAGTACCCTGGCGCCTCACCTACCACTGACAAGATAGCTTTACAGTTGTACATTATTATGTATCTGATGGAGAGAACTCTGCCTGGGACCAGGTCCCTGCATTTGTGAGATACTGAAACATACAATCTCGTCCGTTTTTTTAATTGGTGTAGGACACTTCACTTTTCACCTACCACCTGACATGATAGCTTTTACGGCTGTACCCCATTTGTATCTGGACGAGAGAACTCTGACAGGGACCAGGTTTCCACATTTGTGAGGATCATCAAAAACACCTAGAATATAATATTTCCCCCCTTTTTGATGATAGCACATAAATATACCTCAGACTGAGTTCATCATTCATCTCACTGGCAGCAGTTCCATTAACAAGGATATTATTCCTTGTTAGATCGACAAGTTTGTTAAATCATCAAAACTTCATATCAAGTTCGAGCTAACATCCTTAACTCAACTTCAAGCTAACAGTATATCCTCTTCTTCTTTTTTTTTTTTTAAAAAAAGGATCATTGTGACCAATCAATCAATATATCCATTCCACACTTGAGGAAATTCAATTTCATTTTGAACATGTCTGCTAAAGTAGAAGACCAAAATGCTTGATGTAAAGTTTATCCATATTTCTTCACTTCTGTTATTACCAACTAGTATTATTTTCCCCATTTTTTTCTTCAATAAAAACTAAACCAAAGAATGGGAACCAAGGGTCTTGTTCATGTCTTTCTTGTATCATTTCCAGGCCAAGGACATGTCAATCCTCTTCTTAGACTCGCCAAGCGCCTCACTTCAAAGGGTCTTCTTGTTACTTTCTCAGCACCCGAAATTTGTGGTGTTGAAATGAAGAAAGCTAACCCAAATATCAGCAATGAACCTACTTCATATGGTAATGGCATGATAAGATGTGATTTCTTTGAAGATGAATGGGATCCTTCGAAGCCCGATGGGAATGATTTGGAGATGTATATACAACATCTTGAGATAATGATCAAGAAATACGCGGAACAGGGTAGCCCTGCTTCGTGTTTGATTAATAATCCTTTTATCCCTTGGGTTTGTGATGTTGCTGAAAGCCTTGGCATCCCTAGTGCCATGATTTGGGTACAATTTGCTTCTAGCTTTTCATCTTATTATCATTATAGTCATAATTTAGTTCCATTTCCTAGTGAAATACAACCGAAAATCGTTGTTCAATTACCTTGTATGCGTTTGTTAAAGTATGATGAAATTCCTAGTTTCTTGCACCCTTCAACTTTATATACTATCTTGTAAAACAGTCATTTTGGGACAATTCTGTTAGGACCGAAAATAAGCAGGTGTAACGCGGAAGCTATCAATGCATACCTCGAAATACTACGAGTAATAAGACAACTAGAAATATACCAAAAGACACAAAGATTTAACGTGGTTCGTTCAATCCACCTACGTCCACAAAGGAGATGAGCAATCCACTATAAATATGAGAGTACAAAATACAAAGAGAAACAATATCTACCAATTCACTCAAAATACATGGGAGGTTCACACAAGTAATAACGTATCAAACTTGTAACACATAAATTCCCCCCTAACCAAAACTCTCAAAGCCCTTAAAGACTACATTCTGAATGCTGATTAAGTTAAAAGGAACATTCCTCTATTTATAGAGTCCTAAACATTTTCCTACTAGAAAAATGATTAGTCAATCCATAACTTTTTCCTAAAAGGAAAATCTTTTTATGGTAAGAAATCAGAGCAAATAACACCCAACAAATATCCCCCTTGGCCTGAATTTCTTACAAAATAAATTTGTCCACCTTCTTCACTTAATCTTCAACAACTTGCTTCTCCTCTCCATAATCTCCTTTGCAAAATTTATGTCTTAACACAGAGAACCTCTCTTAAACAATTTCTCCAACAAAATCTTCATTACTTTCAAAAAGGTTGCAGCTAGAACTACACCCGCCAAGATGAACACCTCTTTCTAACCTGGTTCAGTAATCGATTATCGAACCACTGAACCTGACTCAATAATTGAATCTAGCTCTGGTACCACTTGTTAGGACCCAAAATAAACAGGTATAACGCGGAAGCTAACAATGCAAACCTCGAAAGACTATGAGTAAGAAGACAACAAGAAATATACCAAAAGACACAAAGATTTAATTGGTTCGGTCAATCCACCTACGTCCACAAAGGAGATGAGCAATCCACTATAAATATGAGAGTACAAAATACAGAGAGAAACAACCTCTACCAATTCACTCAGAATACATGGGAGGTTCACACAAGTGATAATGTATCAAACTTGTAACCCATAAATTCTCCCCTTACCAAAACTCTCAAAGCCCTTAAAGATTACATTATGAATGTTGATTAAGTTAGAAGGAACATTCCTCTATTTATAGAGTCCTAAACATTTTCCTACTAGAAAAATGATTACTCAATCCAAAACCTTTTCCTAAAAGCAAAATCTATTTATGGTAAGAAATCAGGGCAAATAAAACCCAACTTACCTTTATACTTATGGAAACATTCCAAGAACTTGAACATGATGTCGTTAATCACCTCTCCGAAATACTTCCTATCAAAACGGTTGGTCCTCTATTCAAATACCCTAAAGTAGTATCTCCTAGTTATGTCCAAGGTGATTTTATGAAGGTGGAAAATTGCATAGATTGGC